TAAAAAAAAATGGAGGGAAATTGGCATGCAAAACTTTAATCCACTAAAATAACTTTGCTGAGCTTTTTTTCCTGGGGCCAATTAAATCCTGGGACGAATATGCTGCTCCTTTGCGAAAGAAATACTAACAAAAACAAATAATTTGGTCTGTACACATCATTAATATAAATTCCCATCTAGGAAGTCATTACTTAATGTTTCTGTTGTGCCAAACAATTACCTTCTGAATAATTATTCTCGGTAAAGCCGGTGCCTGTTATCAAAAAAGTAGGACAGATAACAGAAGTCCAGCTTCTCCTGGGAGGAAAAGCCAAAACTTTGTGATCTTTAATGACACAAGCCGCAGTCTAGACATGAAACGGGAAACAGAATATTGAGAAGCCGTAGTCTTTAATGGTCACGGCCACTTTGATTCCCGTGGTAGCAGTCGAGTCTTTTTCATGCTCTGTTTGCTGCCAGCCGCCCACCATGATTGCAGCCCACAGTAACGTCTCTGATGGTGCGATTCCTACGGTCAGTGACTGAACACGTTCAACCCCTGCTGTCCATGCTGACAGTGTGTGCAGCGCGGGCAGAAGAATGACAACTGAGGTGGAAAGGTTTTTAAAGACCGTGAGCATCCATGAGGCATTCATGACCTTCAACCATGATTGGCTTGTAATGTATCTAAACCCCAAATCCTTGCCTGGAAGATGAAGAAGTGTGGTCGCTCTCTGTGATGGATAGCTATTTCATATTCTATTTCATGCTGAGGAGCTCAGCAGTGGAGGGGAAAAAACTGTTGATGTCTTCTTTTTTCTTCTTCTTTTCGTTTCTGACCAAGAAACGAGAGGGAAGCGGCAAATTCTTACATTTTTGAAGCTAGAAACTCTTCTTAGCCTTGATTCTTCCACACAGCCTGAATTCTTTTAGCCAAGCTTTCTTGTCATTTCTTAGATAATACTTCTCCAGGCTTCTACTGAAACCATTTCTGATGAGGCTTCAGTAAACAGGCTCAGATTTCTCTCAGGTAGTGTGTCGGGTGTTTGCACGATTTTTCCCTTTTTCTTAAGGAACCTGACTTTTAAATGCTGTTCATCGGATGTAGATAAGTTTGTATGGCTGCCACTTCTTTTGTCCTCCAATTGTCCAGTTTCCTTAATTTTTTAAGGACACAGTAAACACTGTATTGAGATATGCTGAGTTTTTAGCTAATAGTTCTGTGGGACTCACCTTACTGGTTCAAAAATACAATTTCATGCCGGTCAAACTGTGTTATCTTTGGCATTTTTTCCGCATTCAACAAAAGAAATTGGGGGAAAAAATGATTTGTTCTCGTCCCTAAGCATACAGTTTAAAATCAGTACTTTGCTCAATTGTCTGTTGTGTGTAAACACAACACTGTTTCATCTCCCGAGTTATGTTTTTTTTTTTTAAACAATTTGCACTTCAGGGTTGAGTGTGTTAGCAAACAAACAAGGTCTGGACTGAAAATGAGGGAAACGGTTGCCAACATTCAAAGAACAATATGAAAGATCTTCCCCTGGAAGTTGTTGCTCGGGTTTGGCTGCTTGGAAGCAACATTTAAAGCAATGAAGGGTGGCTCAAGACTTTTGCACAACACTGTACAAAATCCAAAATGTCATATGTTATTGCAGCTTCCCTTTGTTGATCTATCGTATTCCAGTCATTCATTTTCTCCTTCTTATCCAAATCAAAGTGGTGGGTGGGCTGGAGCACATTCCAGCTCTCATAGGGTAAAAGTCAGGGTCCACAAAGAGACAGACAACCATTCACACCTACGGTTACTTTAAAATCACCAATTAACCCGACATGCATATCTTTAGACTGTGGTGGTGATGGGTGGGGGGTGGGTCAGTCTGCATGCAGGCAAATTTGCCCAACACACCCCTGCTGCCCCATAATATACTTCATCACAATCATCTCTCGTGACTTCTCTGTTGACTTACGCTGATTTCTTGCAAATAATCCGAAGTCACTGTTGAGCCATAGCTTGACTCACCTTCATTGTTTAGAAATAACAAAGGACAGATATCCTGAAACCTGTAAAATGCAAACTGAAAGTTTTTTCCCCCAAAAACTGCTTGGACTAAGCAAAAAATCCGTTACCTACCAACACTCATGTGTGGATATTAGTGCGGCTGACAGGTACAGCTCTGCTTATGGAGCCAAACCACTGCTCCAAATGAGACAGACTACTAAGTTACTCTTAGTAAGAATGCATTCGTAGCAGACATTAAACTATCAGCAGTTGTGAAAACCCCTGAAGAGCACAGTGTTTCTCTCACAGTGGGTAAAATGCTCCCGAGGAAGTTGCACCTACCTGAGCTTTTGTTGTTGTCTCACACCTATTCACCAAGCCCTCCTATTGACTGTCATTGTATCCTAAAGAAATGATAATGGCCACTCTGTCTTTCTTCCAGAGTGGCGGGGATCTGTGAGAGAAGCCTTGTGTGCGTGCATGTGTGTGCGTGCATGTGTGTGTGCGTGTGTGGTGCTGGGTGTCCACTTTCTCTCGTTCACTTCATGTGTTGCCAAACTGGAAACAAACAGGCATTGTGCTCCAGTTCTGCGGCGGCGGCCCTGATGTTCCTGTTTATGGACCCATCACTTAATTGTGGCCTCACACAACTATGCCCATTATCTGCTGTTTCCCTGTGAATACTGTAGCCAGTGCGGCTTTGCTGAGGTCTAATGGTGGGCCTCTATCCTTCCAACATCTATATATGATTTGTTTGGGACAGTTTTTGAAGTAAAAATCAACAGATATGTAACAAGATTCCTTGCTTCACAGCGAGAGTTTGCATCGTGGGCTGCTGACCTTTTCTTTCTGATTTCCCAAGTAAAATAATTGAAGCTACATGTGTCTGAATTTGCATGAGCTGCAGCCGTAGCAAAGTTCTCAGTGTGATGCAAATTTAGCGACGCAGACGCATCTGAAGTAATTCTTTGATTGCTTCGCATCCTCCTCTCCTTAGGGGTGCTATCTATATCTGAGGGTGTTGATTAGATAGCAGTCTCCACCCACATTTGCAATTCAAGGAATTGTTATTCTCACATTGCTATGCGCACCGCCGTGTGGTTGTTCCGCAGGGTGAAGACTGTAGTTAACTCATAAATGATCAATATGCCATACAAGCCTCTTTCACGGAGAGTGAGCTTTCTGAATGTCCCTCTGTGGAATAGAGACGGGGTGAAATGCATGGATGTACTTTTGATTTACAATTCCCATCTTGCCTGTCAGGACTAAAGGATTAAAAACAGCTTTTTAAGCTTCGCACATAAACAGTTTCACACATTTTGTCACATTCTGGTACAGACGTTTTGCTGAAATATAAATTTTACTATGTCTGGATTATCCATCCAGGACCTTAACGCATCGGGCACTTGTGTGTTTAATCTACTCTCTGCCAGCAATGTTCTCTGTCCTGTCCAGTGGAATCCTTTGAGATAACTGAGGGAACTGAGATCTGCAGCTAGTGATGACAGCCTGCGTGACCATGGGTCAAACACAAATTTGCAAGTAAACTGGAAATTTGTCAAGTTGCCCTTTGTTGGCCCCTGTGTTTCATGTGTTAAGTACTCTGTTCAAATCAGCCATGCACTTTAAATCATGGCGACCACTTAGAGCCTGCTATCCCCACAGATCCCCACATAGCACCGGAAAGCATCTGACCCTGGACCTCAGTCTTAGTTTAGCCGCCCGTGCTAAACTAGCTGCACGCTCCCACAATAACAGTATTGACGTCACTGACCATCATTGGACGCGTGCTGCCTTCAGGTTCTCATTATAAGCTCAGATTTTGGATATTTGGAGAGCTGACATAGAATGGATAGAGATGGAAAGAAGAGACAAAATAAATAAATAGATAAATAAAACAGATAAAATGCAACCCAGTAGGCTTCATTAAACATCTAACAGTATTCATTTGATCCTAGTGCATGTGAGTTATGGTTATTTAAGCAACTGGCCTAATATGGATGTTTTCTGATACTTAAATATGGATCCATTTAAAACGTACGATGTGCCATGCATTCCGGTGCTTCTCATACATGAATGTGTTTACCTGCTATGGGGACTGATAAACTAATATTTCCTTTCCCTACACAAAGCCTTACATTTGATTGGCACCCAGAACACTCGATTCAATATTTAAACTAAACTTTAACACATAACTATAAGTAATCTTCCCTGTAACAACGCAGCATTTATTTTACTTCAGGTTTGGTACTTCTCCCCGAAATTTAAAAATTAGACAGATGCTGTGACAGATGCGGTTTTCCTAATAGATAATATTGAGTTTTGCTCTCATACGATAAAGTTAATTAAATACCGTTTTATTTAGGCTCTCCTTCTTCGTTTAATATCGGGAATCCCAGCTTCCTTGATAAATTTGATACAAACGAGTCTGTTTTGATACATTTAACATTACATTAGGTGAAACAATCTCAATACACGCCTCCTTTTTGTATTTACACTGTGACTAGGTGGTTGCTTAATACACAAACTGTGTCATCGGGCGCACACCCATGAGTAAGATTTAGGACTGTGTGTATTTTGGTACATCCGGACAGGTCTGGGAATTTTCCCGACAGTCCCTGAACGCCTCGAGCTGCAAAACTGCGAGAGAAGCGGTGATTGAAGAGGATAGCAGAGCGGCGGTGGCGACGACGACGGCCATCTTAGAGCTACCGTGGTAACCGACACACTCATCTCCTGGATTTAATTTTTCATGTGAGACAAACACTCCGCCTGACTGACGAAGGGAAGAGGAAGAATAAGACGGCTGTTTTTAACTTCGCCGCGGTTGAACTCGAAGTCGGGATGCGGTTCCGAGGGAACAAGCAATTTGCATCCGCAGTCGGACTGGTCCTCGGACTATTATGTGCGGTGGAGGCAGCTAAAGGTAACTAAGCTGGGATTTAGATCCCGTTGTGTCTCGTGAGTGTCAGAGGCAGACAGTCTTTTATTTCATTTTATTGTTTGTTTGCGGCTGTCTGAAGCCACTTAGTCGCTCCAGGACGCTGAAGGTTACAAAGAGCGGTTAGCAGACAGGGGCAGTGCGGTCCTGAGGGGGGGATGCGTGTCCAGTAACCTGCTCCGGGATTGCCAGCCCCGGAGCCGCAGCGGATGGATGTGGCGAAGTATCCCGCCGGTGGACAAGTGCATCCCGCGATGCTTTGTCCAGTGCAGCCTGAAGCAGAGGGAAATTAGCCATTATGGTCCAACTGTACTTATTCCCTGTCCTGCTTAACATTGCCTCCTTAGTGCAAGAAGTGTGCCGCTTTATGAGATAATATCGAGGCTGTGAATGACCCCCTTCTGTCATCTGCATCGATTCTATTTTTGGCATCTAGTCACTTCTTTTTTATCTTTGTGTTGTGTATTATTAGGATTAAAAATCCGCTTCACCCGCTGCATGCTTTGTAATATTGCCCGTGGCTGGCACTCCCTGTACTAATCTTGTTTTTAAATACGTTTGAGTACATCTGGATTAGGGCTAGTGGTGATATGTTTCTTTACCCCCAACCCACCCAGTTTTTTTTTTGTGTGTGTGTCTGTTTTATGCCTATGCTGTTAAAACCACGCAGGTTTATTTTTCCATTAGTGGGTTTAATACTTGGGGTTTGGCAACGTTGTGTTCGCACCAGGATCGAGTGGCTTGGTTGGCTGCGCATTGCAGATCCTCTTCACCCTGTCCCTGTTTCGTCGGTAGATTTAAAAAATTTATGTGGCGTGATCACGGGCTTAAAGTGGGGGAAAACACACACACGCTCAGTAGGTCTGGGCCTACTTTTGTGCAGAAACTATGCAAGACCCGAAAGTGCATCTGCCCTCTTCTTGTGCGACGTCACCGGTGGGCATTTGCTGCAGGGCGGTCCACCTCTCCTGCTCTACAGTGGCTCCAATCTGACCACCGTCGATGCGTGATTTACACGTCGTGTTTCATCGTTAAACTCCCAATCGGCGCACTCCCTAGCGTGAGCTTCCTGTTTCAGGGTGTGTAGAGGCAGGTGCGACTTAATCAGTGGCCATATCGGCATGCCCAGGCAGGGCTACAGAAGCCAGGGTGTGCTTTTGTGTTTGACAGTTATTGTGATGAGAATACAGGCGGTGAAATAGACACAGATTTTAAAAAATGTCTGCACAAATAAAGGGTGGGGTGGGGGGGATTATTCTCGTCGTAATTCCCTTGTTTCCAGGTTAAGCAGCTGGGAATGCACCGCTTGTACAGCAGTAACTTCATTTCTTTTTCCATCCATCAAAAGAAAGAAAAGGCCTGTAGCACCTAGGCCTGGATAGTGTGGCTGCCTTTTAATGATCTACTAAAGAGTGTGCGTGCGTGCGTGAATGCATGCGTGCAAAGTGCACCTGCTGCCTTTCCTGTGCTTATCAGCGCACAATACCTGTGAACTGGGCATCTTGATGTTGGCTTATCTTTTATTAACCAAAGATTACTTGCTTGTTTGTTTGCACTCTTCCCTACAGCTTTGTTTTCATTGCTTTTCCCCCCCTCATTACCGGCCATCTCCCAGCACATGAAGAAACCAGATAGTCCTTGGGTAGTGGTTCTTGTTCCCTTCTCTCAGTGTTAGCAAATATTAGCACTATGGAAAGTGATTGAGGTGAAAAGCTTGGCACAAACAGGTGATTTGGCAAACTCTGACCCACAACTCAGACCGATAACACGGCCGCAAGACGTTAAGGATGTGTTGAAACGCTATCTTTTTGGCTCCACCTATGATCATATGATCCATCAGATTGCCGGGGAGGAAATTCTGGTGTGTGTACCACTAAAGTCAAGAGCTAAACAGACACATCGCTTGTTTTTCCGAGGTCTGACCCGTGTAATTTATTTAGTTTTCTGTATACTGTGAGCAGCGGCTGTGTGTCTCCCATGCTCCAGAGTCAAAACATTAGGTCTGCTGGGATGCATGAGTTTGTTCTGTGCACACAGGGTCAGACAAAAGAGAGGCCGGCTTGTTGGGAAGTTCCTTCATTCATCATTGAATTAAGCAATTGTAGTTGAACAAATCGGATGCCCTGCTTTGTGGGGTGCAGAGTTAACATATGCGTCCTTCTCACATTGCTGGGGCTTTTTCAAGTCAGAGATCTCCCCCCCCCCCTGCTGCCCAAAAAAGCTTCCCAGCCCTGCATTAGCTTCCAAAGCCCATTACCAATCAATAGTTACAGTTAAAACGATGTAAATAAACTATTTATGTAAAAAAAAAAAAGTCTTCCTCAGCTCAGCTCTAAGGGGACTTATGGCAACCTCAATAAAACATTCTTCAATGGTGTAATTATCTCAATTAATTAGTTACTACGTCAACATTTTGCTCAAATTACTAATAATTTCATTTGTAATCTAATCACTTATCTCATGCTTTTTCATGGTTAAACAAAAGCTTCATTGCAAAAATACTGCACTGATTGAAACTGCTTGCCAGGCTTATAAAAAGGCCCCTCATTCCAGGGATCAGAGCATCCCAGACACCAAGTGATGGATGATCGCCATTTGTGACTTTGCTGACCTTGAAGGAAATATATACTCTTACATTTTCTACATGCTGCTGCTGACTGTCTCAATGGAGCCCATTTCAAGCCTTCAAACTAGCAGCGATCCGGCTGACGTATGTTATCTTGCCGTGTTATGGCAAGCAGAAACTATGTGGATGCACACAGCTGACAATGACTGCATTGTTTGCCTCTTCCATGCAGCTCGAGAACCACTGTGGCGTGCTGCTATTCAGAGTCAGTCCAGAGACTTGTGTTTTTCCTTAGAAAGTATGCCAGTAAGTATGGGGTTGGGACAAAATGTTGATAAAGTCATATCTCGCTGTTTGCTCTCGAGATGCCATTATCGGGTGAAAATGTCGATCTTTTAATAAAACGTGCAGCAGCGGCTCTAAACAGTTTTCCCTGATAGTTTGTCTTAGTAGAGTCACCGCTTTATGACTCCTCCTCGTGGTGCTTATCAAATGATTGATGGTGAACTGAACCGAGGCTGCAGTGAAAAAGAAATTTAAGGGGGAAAAAAGACAAATCGCACATTTAATTTCACACATTCTTGAAACTGAATGCGAATTATAATAAATATGCACAGACCACGATGCAGTGAGTTAATGCATCACTCTTGCTTTTTGCTTTGTTTTTTGTCTTTAATTATGCAAATATTGGGATGTATTGCAGGCAGTTGTGTCTCAGAGTCGCTCATTGAGGCGTTATCATGGTCTTAGCATACAGTGATATTAGTTAGATGGCATGGCAGCAGCTTAAGATCCAAAAGTGTGATGTAGCGCTGAAATTAAAACGGAGCTCTCACTTAATTAGCTGATACGTGTGTTGCATAAAAGATGGATTGCTTTAACATTATTTTAAGTTGTTGAAGAAGGAAGCATCTAGAAAGAACTCGCGGGAGGGGGGAACACACTAAGCTTTCCTGAAACATGATAACAATATGAAACGCATATCCCTTCTTTTTTTTTTTTTTTTAAAACAGTTTGAATAGAACTAGAACTAGGTGTGAACAGCTCCACAGGGCTACAGGAAGGTGGTTGCTTTCAGTGCAATTACTGCCTTGTTTTCAGAAACATTGCGGGCTTATACTGGTGCACCACTTGCTGCAAAAATGTTTTGGGTGCATGCCATGAAAAACTGATTACATATTTCGATTGTTTAAAGGTAGTTTGTTTTAAATACATCATGCCCACCACACATTGGAAGTTATCTGCTTATCGAGTTCATTTAGGTAAAGGTAGCCATGTTTGCAAGGATTAAAAGCCTCAATGATTAAAATGCTTCTTGCAAACCCACCAATTAGAGGATCCTGCCTTTGTTGAAGCTAGTGGTAGAGACGGAGTGAAACAAAACTGGTCTGTATCTGACAAACCTTTTACTGGAAATCAGAGCCATTACTACGTCTACTATTTCTGGAAAGTTAGACAATTGTGTGCATGCGAAAATTCCTTTTTTTCCCTTGTTGTTTTGTTTTTTGTTCAAATGGTTCATGTGTATGTGTATGCTCTTCATCGGCTAGCCTCATGTAGGATAAAGAGTGAAGCTCTAATATGAATTTTAATCAGATTGAAGAAATTTTTCACATTTAACACGGCTAGTGGGCAAGAGGTTGGGTACACCCTGGTCAGGTCGGTTGGCAGTTTGTGGCATTCCTACAGCCAATTTAGAATCAGCATTTAAAGTAACAAACATGTCTTTGGACTGTTGGAGGAAACCAGAGGATATCTCTTGGATATAAATGGATACAATGTGATGATCCTGGAAAAAAAAAAGAAAGAAAGAAAGAAAACGGTACTTTGTTCTTCTTGGCACAGAATTTAAGGGTCACACATTTTATTGTGAATGGCTACAGGGTGACGGATGGTGCTTATCATAATTAAACCTAGTCGTCTGGGTCATGGCCTACACCAGATTTCATTAAAAATGTATTCACTGAGATCAACGAACATCATGTCCAAGCTGGATTTAATATTGAATGTTTCTTCTGTGGAGACTCACAAGAAGCATTACAAAAAAAGTTGCTCTTTTGGCCTGAATAACAGTTTGCTTGCCCTGAAGCGAAGCTCCAGTCACACTCGTTACTTCTTAACATTTTTCAGTATTTATTCAGAGATTTCTCAGAGGAACAAAGGGCTTTTATTGGCTAGATGTTGGGGGGGGGGTCGGGATCTCGACTGATCACGTCACAGTGCGGTCACTGTTCATGGAGTTGCGCCTCAAGCCCCTGAAGAATGTGTGTATGAGTTAATCCCCCGAGAGTGCTAAGCATTTCCATTTGGTAGTTTGCCACTTAGGCCGCGACAATACTGGACTCAATTTGTGTCTGTGATGACTTTCCTCTCATTGGTGCCTTCGGGAGCTGAAAGGAGTCAGTGAACTGTCAAGAAT